CCTCGAGCAACATGATGGTGTGGACTGGCACCCGGTCGAGTACTTCAGCAAGAAAGTGTCACTCGTGCATTCCATTGACGATGCACGCAAGAAGGAGCTCCTCGCCTTCGTCCACGCGCTCAAGCGGTGGTGGCACTTCCTCCTTGGTCGAAGCCAATTTCGCTGGGTAACGGACAACAATCCGTTGGTCTTCTACAAGACCCAAGACACCGTCAACAGCACCATCGCTCGATGGATGGCTTTCATCGACCGGTTCGACTTCTTTCCCGATCACATCCCCGGGAAGTCGAACCGTTTTGCGGATGCTCTTTCACGGCGTCCGGATCATTGTACCGCGGTCTACTCGACTTTGGAGATTGATGATGACCTGCGGAACAGCTTCATCCGCGGCTACCAAGCTGACCCCGAGTTTCGCGACAAGTACGCGAATTGCTCCTCTCCTAATCCGTCTCCTTCTCACTACCGGATCCAAGAGGGGTACTTGCTTGTCCACACGCGGGGGAGGACCTTCTTTGCGTACCGAGTGATCCTCACTTGCGTACACGGCTTCTKGGCGAGTTCCACGACGCTCCCGCCACTGGACATTTTGGAGTCAATCGCACGATTGGCCGACTTCGCCAGCGATTTTGGTGACCCGGCCTTCTCGGCGACGTCACGCGCTATTGCGAGTCATGCGAGGTTTTTGTCGACGCTGCAAATCCCGCAACCATTGTCCGTACGGCGAGTTACGACCATTGCCAGTCCCGTTGAGGCAAAGGGAAGCGATTGCCATGGACATCATCGGCCCGTTCCATAAGCACAAGACCGGAGTGGATGGGATTCTCACGGTGGTCGACCGACTCACCAAGTTCGCCATGTTTTTGCCTTGTCGCTATCATGCCAAGGCACCAGAGTTGGCTGAGGTTTTGTACGCCGGTTGGATTCGCACCAAGGGTTACCCCAAGGAGATCGCCTGCGACCGCGACACTCGGTTCATGTCCGATTTTTGGTTGGCGCTCATCAAGCGATGGGGCTCATCTCTCAAGCCCAGTTCARCTCGCCACCCTCAGACCGATGGCCAGACGGAGAGGGCGCATCAGACCGCACAGGTTCTCCTTCGCACTCTCATCYGCCCCGACCAGAAAGAATGGGTTGAGCGACTGCCGGATGTCGAGTTGGCCTACAACTCTTCCATCCACCCGGCTATTGGGATATCACCCTTCGAGTTCGAGCACGGCTCGCCGGTCACGTCACCGTTGGACACGATTACTCCACGCACGGCCGAGAGCGACGACCATCTTCTTTTCTTGCGTCGGATGCAAGAGCTTCTTGTCAAGGCACACGACCAGATGGCTAAGACGCAACAGCGCATGTGCCAACAGGCAAATCGCCAGCGTCTTCCTTGTCCATTCCGCGCCGGAGACCTTGTCTGGGTTTCAGCAGCGGAATTCAGCCTTGAACAGGACATCTCTCGCAAGCTCCTTCCGAAATGGATGGGGCCTTGGCCGATCAGCGAGCCCGCTGGGGACGCACCTGAGGGGCCTTCCTTCACGATTCAGGTGCCTAGTCACTTGCCCGTCTACCCAGTCCTTCATTGTTCCAAATTGGCTCTGTACACGCCTGCGGAACATGATGATTTTCCCGGGAGACGTACGCAGGATCCACCTTCTATGGATGGTTTTCAGGAGGTCGGCGACATCATCTCCCAGCGACGCTACGGCAACAAGCCAACTGAGTATCTGGTGCATTTTGCTTACTGCACTCATCGAGCTGATCGTTGGTTGACCCGTACGGAACTGCAAGCGACAGCTCCAGACGTTCTCGCACGCTACGAACGCAAGATGCAAGGCAAGCCGGATTTTTCGGCTCCACACCGCGCCTGCGTCCAGGTTCCACCTTCAGACCGACGGCTTCGCCCTCGCCCCGGCTTGGCTTCATAAGGAGGGGGGGGTTTTACATGCAGCGCACACATACGGGCCATTTTGCAGGCCCGACGGCCATTTTGCAGGCCCGACTGGATTCAGGCCAAAACCCTGGATTTTAGGCCGAAAGCCTGAAATTCAGGGCTTACAAGCCCCATTTCGGTTCAGGCCGAAAGCCTGACTTTCAGGGCCTACAGCCCCTGCGACGGTTCAGACTAAAAATGGTAATAGCATTTTTAGCCTAAACCCAAGGGCCATTTTCGGTCGTTCATCAGAACGACCGGCCCTGAAACTCTGGCACCGAACCAGGGTTTTGGGAACAGCCTATATTTAGACTGTTCCCACGCCTGCCTCAAGCAGGCTGCTGCACGCCAGCCCCTGGCACACTTCGGCATTGGCAAGAGCTGCCTCCTCGGCCTGCTCGCCCTCCTGCAGTCAGGAGGCAGGCCGAGGAAGTACATAGGACTTCCCAGGCACTTCCGGGGTAGGCAGTTCGGCAGTTGTAGTCTTAAGGATTCGGGAGCAGCACTCTGGAGGGAGTGCTGCGTTGTAGTAGAGTAGCGTTAGCTASTAGTCTTCARYGYTGGGCGCARTAGGTAGYTGTAGCCTTCGGCGCTGGGCGCCATAGCTAGGTAGTGGTAGAGATGATGGGCGGAGGCCAGGGATCACTTACCTGCAGCGCCGTTGCTCCAGCTTCGTCTTCGAGGTACCTGCAGCACAGCGYCGACATTACASGTTAGTACCTGGTTCRTAACARTAAGAGAGAGAGAGTTCTCTTCTTSCTCTTCTYAGTCCCCCATCTTCTTCTTACCCTCTCAACTTCTGACTTCCCTGCAGTTGCAGACTACGAGAAAAGAGATACCGGGTTTGGTGACATATGATCCAGACTCGACTTTTTGGGGGTTCGGACATGGCAACGAGGGACTATTTGGGATTGGTGACCAAGACTTGGTGTTAACGACATTCCCATCTTCTTCCCTCCTTTTATATGTTCCTTATCTCTTAGTCTGTGTATGTCTGGACCTGGCGCTTTCTTCCTATGTGTAGCGCCAGACTCCTTCACACTTCGTGATGGATACAATGCATGTTTAATCTGAGTTCAAACATTGATTGGGCTAGTTAGAGGTACTCTAGCATTCTGCTTCGTTACTCTGAACTACGTGATTGAGGTCAGTCCTGTCAGGTCAGTCTTTGTATCAAAGTCTTCCCTGCGCTCTTCAGCATCTTTATGTATGAATGAGATTGTACATTGCTTGTCGAGATTCTACTCGTACCGCATTGTCTATTCAGTCCTTTTCATCACATTGCAGATTCTCGGTTTATTACGTACATTGCATATATGTGCATGTAACACAGGAGGAGGTCACCCAGTCCAATCCTGCATTTGCCACTTTGGGTTCAATCCCTACGTACAAGTGATAAGTTTGGTAAGATTGGCGATTAATAATCCCATTGTGGTCCATTGCATAATCAGGAATCAGCCTCGCATCATAGCGCCCACTCTGGAAGCCTTGGATTAGCTCTAGTGAGTCTTTCCAAGTCCGGAGGGGATTCTACCCTCCATGTTGGCATGATCAGAGGTTCCTGCCATTGAGATACTAGGAGTCATTGTGGCTCTGTCAGGCCATCCTAAAAAATCAACGGACGTAAAACATTCTGGGGGATAAGTCCCTGCTGTGCATGGGATAAAGGTACTATGACAGTCGCCTTATCTCTGCCCCTCCTGTCATGACAAGGGGGAGGGCCTTGTGTTTGAAGGTCTTGTGAGAGCCTTGTCTCTAGGAATCCTGCCGAGCTTGCGATTGGCACCCTAGACCCGGCTGCAACAACATTTCATTTTGCAGGGAAGATTCAAATCCAAAGATTTATGCGGGATACTCCACCTTCACACCCTACTACTTTGGAGGTATTACCCCCTTGAGCAGATAAGGTAGGTTGAATTGAAGAAGGGGAAGTATGTTTCGGAGAAGATCTTTGGATCTTCGTTGGTGAGGGATCCAGCACGTTCTCCGTTTCGAAATCATCTGCTCCCCGTCTTCTAGGGATTGAGATTGACAGGCCAGAACCACCTGGAGTGTCATTGTGTCCGGATCTGTCGTGTTTTGATAGCCAATCTTAGGCTGGGCTATCACTGGGTCTTCGTCCACTTCTGGCTTCCTTCCAATTGGTCGGGCAGTCCTGCTTCCTCCTCTCCGTCCGCTTTGAGAAGGGATTGGAGTAGGTCAACCCAACCCGTTGTTTATTAACAGTCTTCGTCCTCTACCCCCTGAAACAGATGGATAATGCTCGCTCCCTGTGGGATGAGATTTGTCCGAATATAAAATTTGGGTGAGCGGAGAACCCTTGAGGGGGAAGATCCCTTGGTGATTGAGGCGGGTAATTTGGGGGGGGGGGGGGGGGTTCCTTGGGGGCCTTGAGGGCCTTGCTGTTCACGTGATTCACCTGATGTACCTGCGGGTTGGCGGTGGGCTCGTTTCTCTGAGGCTGAACGGTTCCCATCGTTCATCGGATTGGATGGTCTAAGATCTACTCTCGGAGCTGCAGATCTCCCTGGCGGATCACGTTGGTCCTTAGGACCATCATCCCTTTCCCCATCATTCCTCCTTTCCGTAGAAGGAGGAACGACCTTCTTCGGAGGGGGCCCTTCTCCCTTGACGAGTTTCGTTATCTTCTGATTTCCCATTGTTAGGGTTTCCGATCACACTCCTTTGTCTCGCGCCCCACATACCATTTGCAAAATTTGCAATAAAGAGTGAACGAGTCCACGAGATCTGCAGTGAGCAGTTCAGATCCTAATAGGACTTGAATTTGTGAACACAAGTTTTGGTCGGAGTTGCGCTCCAGGCCAAATTTGAAATTTACTAGATGAGGATAATCCTGATAATTAATTGGATCGTAGTTGTTAATCGCTTTTCGGATCGCCTGATCAATCAGTGATCTAATATAGGAGAACGCGCCTAGCGGGACCCTGACTGCCATTACCCAGTAGTTATCTCTTCGCTCCTTATCTCTCAACGATTCCCATTCCTCCCTAGGCACCCAGGCTCTGATCGAGATCTTATACCACTTTTGTTTCGGTTTGAACTTCTCCATTTCTTTCTTCAAGAGGAGATCCCTGATGTCTTGGTTCCTGGCCACATATGCAATCATGTGCTTACCCTCCACGTGTGTGGTTAACCTGCCCAAAGCAAGCATCGGTGGTTCAAGTCTGGTATTTTCCAAATTCCTAATAAAGGAGAGTCTTTCGGCGATGCTTATAATTTTCGCTGCGTCGGTGAAGGAAAATAACACCATGCGTTCTTTTAACGACTGCGTCTGAATCCTTTTCAACTCTTCGCACAGAACTCCATAAATTACCCGGTTCTCAGCATGTTCTGTTCGGTCACTCCGGGTAGACTGTGAGGACACCGGCCTCAATCTTCTTATTGGTAATATCAGCCTTGGGCATTGGGCCCGTAAAAAAAAAAAAAAAAAAAAAAAAAAAAAAAAAAAAAAAAAAAAAAAAAAAAAAAAAAAAAAAAAAAAAAAACTTCGGTATTTTTTATGTATTTGTTAATGTCATGAATATTACCCTGAGAAAAACATTCTTGGAGGAGGGATCGGGTCCTCGTTTCCTCTTGGGCATCAATTGGTTCGCTCCACTCTGCGGACTGAGGGTCGGTCCTCTCATCGTGGTGATCCATTTCGTTAATTTCGTTCATTTCAAAGTATCCGAGTAGGAGTTCTTTGTTATGTTGAGGGGTAGAAATCAACTGGAAGAAAGGTAAATGGGACAAAATCACGACAGGCTGAGTTCAAGACGTAGAGATCAGAGGAAAGGAGTGTGAAGATTGAACTCCTTCATATCTAGAGGATCGTCGAGTATTGGAGAGGTGGGCGGAATGTCGCTAGAGGAGGTACGCGACAAAAAGCGTTGAGCCCCAATGAGTGCTTTTATTGTCAAGTTTGAAGAAAGGTCGGGTCTTCCCACAGGAAATGGCTAAAGTGGCGTGTTCGCGGAATGTCGCTAGAGGAGGTACGCGACAAAAAACGTTGAGCCCCTGTAGCGGACCCACCGGGTGTGGTGCTCCGCCTGGGCTAAGATGGAGATGGAGGAAGAAGGGGGGAGCGAGATGGCACAACGCAGCTCCCCACGCAAGACTCCAACGCACGTACTCCAAAATGTGCAAATGAAGAATGATCTCGAAAACAGACACAGGCTAGGGTATACCCCAGCGGACTGACGGGACTGGACTGGACTGGCTGGTACCGACAGAGGTACCGGCCTAGACTGGACTGGACTGTCACCGAATAGAACACAGGCCTGTGAGAACAGGCCAAGGGGCTGGTCTCACAGGCCAACCAACCAGAGGTCCGCTACACGATCCTCGGCCTGTGATGGATCGCCTAGATACAAACACGCTTCCGCCAAGAAGCGGAACTCTACCAAAGAAAAGAAAACCTGAGTAGTCTAGGATGCGGAGCAAGCTCCATGCTGAGTCCATGCGATGCAACCTAGGATAGAAAAGGTCACAAAACAGCAATGTCACAGCTAACAGCCTAAGTGAAAGCAGAAGCAACTAACTAGCATACATGTCCTAGGAAAGCAGAAGCAACTAACTAGCATACATGTTCTAGGAAAGCAGAAAGTAGTGACAACTAGATCCTAGAATGTTGGAGGCAGTAGCCTCAGTCTGGAAACAGCTGACTAGTGTATGAGTCCTAAGAACAGCAAAAGCAGAACAACTAAATCCTAGAAATTTCAGAGGCAGTAGCCTCAGTCTGAGAGCAACAAAGCAACAACAAGTCAACCATATGTCACAGGAGAAGTGTGTCGCAAACCAAAGGGTGGGATGGTCTCTGAGGGTGGCGAATGCAGCCTAGGGGTCGAAAACTCCTAAGGGCATCCACACATAGTGACAGGGGAAACACATGTCATCAGGCTCAATGAGGGTAGGGAACTGGGAGCGAACAGAACCAATGACCCTAACAGATAGACCATCAGGGCGGGTAATGCTCGACTAAGGGGTGACCGCTATGGAGGGTCGACCATGCAAGGGAACAAGGGAGCCTGGTATACTGGGCGCACCACCTAGATGAAGCATGCGGGGCTGCCTAACTAGGGCGTGAGGGCCAGCAGAGGGTAGAAAGGTGATGGGTAAGAGAATCATGCAAATGACTCCTAAGGTGGGGAAGTTGGAGCTAGATCCGTAAGATGGGAAGCCAGGGCTGCCTATGCGTATACCAAGGGAGAGCCCAACTCAGAGGAACCCGGCTAAAGGAAGACCATCATGCAACACAACCAGGGTACTGTACAGGGTAAAGTGGTAAGAGGGTGGCGACGTCTGAAGTAGGGAGAGATGATTGTGACAAAGTCCATGAAGCTGCCGATGACGTCCACGATGAGAAGTCCGAAATGCCGTCGAGGAAGAGCCACAACGTCGACGAGCTGAAGTAGCAAAACTGGAGTGGATGGAGTACTGAGAATTCAAAAACGTGGGAAGGTAAATCAGAGTCTATTGTCGTATCGAGCAGGACGACGACGAGTGCGCTGTGGACACTCAGAAGCATCCGGCTGCTGCTGAAGGTCTGCCTCAGATGGAGCAGGCTCGACTTCAGCAGTCTCCTCAGCCGGGGGAGAAGGAGGAGGGTCAGTGGGTTGAGGAGGAGCAGTGAACCCAGCACGACGAGCACGGTCATAGGCACGCACCAACATGCGAGTGTGCTGCAAGTGCTCGAGGGGCTCCCAAGTGGCCTCCTCATAAGGGTAACCCTTCCAACGTACGAGATACTGGACGTGGGGAGGGTTGTCGTCGGTGACTCGGCGACCAATGATGTCTGAAACGAGGAACTCCTCGTGGCCGTCCACCATGATGGGTGGAGGGCGCTCGTATGGTCGTCCAGCGAAACGCTCAGACGGTCTGCGATAAGGACGCAGTAACGAGACGTGGTAGACATCGTGCACACGATCCTGGCGTAGGTAGTCGGCCAGCTTCACACGGAAGCTGACCGGGCTAGAAGCCGTATCAGAACCGACGGCGTGGAGGATGCGGCATGGTCCAAAGAAGCGACGTCGAAACTTGCGAAGCGTGTTCGCTTCGAGCTGTAAGTGGCGGGCGTCGATAAACACATCATCACCGACTTTGAATGGATGGTCCATCCTCGATTGGTTCGCACGTGCTGCCATGCGAGTCTGGGAAGCGGCTATGTGCTCATGTGCGGTCTTCATGATCGACGTCATGTGTGCAACCCAATCATCCAGCGAGGGACAACTCGTGTCGGGGTGCATTTGTTACGGTCGAAGGAAGTCCGTGGGAATACGAGGGTGAGGTCGCAATAGTAAGGCGACATCCCCGTGGCTAGCGAGACGGCGTGGTTGTAGGCTATCTCCGCGTGGGCAAGATGGAGATCCCACTGCTGGTCGTCACGAACGATCTTTCGGAGAATATCTCCGAGAGTCTTGTTCGTGATCTCGGTCTGACCATCAGTCTGAGGATGGTAAGACGAGGAGAAGCGAAGCTGAGTGTCGTACACCTCGTGGAGCCGTCGCCAGAATCGGCTGGTAAAGCGCGGGTCACGGTCAGATATGATGCTCAGAGGTAAGTCGTGGTCACGCACGACTCGGTCAAATACGATGTCGACGACCTCACGTGCACTGATGGCATAGCGGCACGGAACAAAGCGTGCACGCTTCGTGAAGCGGTCGACGACCACCAGGATAGCATCATGAACGCGAGGGGTCGGAGAACGAAGGGGACGGATAAAGTCCATCGAGATGGGCTGCCAACGACCCTTAGGGATAGGAAGAGGCTGGAGCAACCCATAAGGAAGGTGGTTCGCACTGCTCACCTCCTGACAGGTGGGACACTCTGCGACGTAGTTCTTCACAAAGTCCTTGCGCTTCGGCCAGACGTACAGGCGGCTCACACGAGCCAACGTCTTGTGGAAGCCCATATGACCGGCGGCTGCCTGGTCATGGAACTCTGCTACTGCTCGGACACGTAGCTGTCCAGTGGAGGGAACGCAAATACGGGGCTCTCTCGTGCCCTGTGAACCGTGCCAGTACACGAGACCGTTGTCCCCGAGAGAGTAGTTCGGGACGGTCTTGCCACTCCGAAGGGTCGGGTGGATGTCGCGATAGTCGGGGCAGTGGCGTACTGAGTGCGAAACTCGTCGATCACCGAGTGGTGGACGGTGGTGACCGAGATGGAAGAGAGTTGGATCTGCTCCTGATCGTGGTCAGGGCGCCGGGATAAGGCATCTGCGACCCGATTAGTCTCACCCTTGATGTGCTCAGTGGTGAAACTAAACTCGGATAGGTCGCGCCACCAGCAAGCCTGTCGAGGAGTGAGCTTCGGCTTTGTCCGAAAAGCCTGGACAACAGAGTTGTCCGTGCGCACTGTGAACAGTGCCCCGTGTAGGTAGTGACGCCAGTGTCGAGCGGCATAAACTACTGCGAGAACCTCACGTTCATCAGCGGTGTAGTTTATCTCGGCGAGAAGAAGCTGACGGGAGTAGAAGGCTATCGGACAATCACCTGAGCGAGACTCGACAGTGTCGTCCTCGGCGATGGTAGGGGAATAGTCAATGGAAGGCTCGTTAATAGCTGGACGAGTAGGCGTCAGTCGGGAAGCAGTGGTAGAAGTAGGTGGTGGGAAGCGAGGGATACGAGGATGAGAGGAATCATGAGAGGATGGGAAGACCTCAGAAAGCATTGCTCCTACAGTAAAGTCTGACGCATTGGTGGTAAGGAGAAAAGGGCGATCAAAATCGGGTAG